TATATTTAATATACAACATATATTACTATATATAGCATATACTATTACATACAGTACATAATACTATATATGCATATAATGCTACCTACGACATATAATATGATATATAGCATTATACCATATTTGTAGCAATAATGTGGCAAGTAGTATTATATACTGTAATATATTCTGGGTTGTAATTTTTGAAATGCACAAGCAATACTACCTGTTTGATTGCTATTTTAATTTTTTTAGATATATACTTATTTTCATTTTAGATCTGTAAGAAGCCTTTGATATAGTAAATAAGTTTAAATATTGTAAAAGGTATAAGAGTAACAAAGTTTGTATTCATGAGATATTGTAAGAAAAGCATTTTCTTTAGTATCAAGTAGATTAGGTTGCAAGTATTTTAGTTAATAATGGTAATCTGATTAGAAGTTTTATAATTCTTAGTTGCATCATTGTATAAATTTGCATACTCTTTTTGGTATACTAGTATTGTATTAGTATTTTTTGTGAATGTAGTAAAGAATTTTGTATCCTGGTATTTGAATTTTAGTTATATTGCTGAAGGTATTTCTATTTGAGTTGAGATAAAATTAAATTTGTGTCTAACAAACTATCAAATACTAGCTACAGTTTGTAGAGCTATTACTATTGTATCATATATTCAGAGCTACTGATCAAATAGCATTTTGGTTCTTTTTGCTATCTTGTTTTGTATATAATTTGTCTATTTTAAGTTGTTGGTATATTGAAAGTTGGTAATTTAAAAGTTTTTTGTATAATCTCACTTTAAAATAATTTCTGAGTAAAATTAAAGTTTATTATAATAGCTAAATATATAGATAATATAGTAGAAGATAAGTGAACAGATAGAGTTAGATTGTTGAATTAGTAATGATTGGTTGTAGTCTAGCCAATTTTTTCTCTTTCTGATTTTTTGATAACATTGTAATAGACTTGTATATTGTATAATCAGCCATATTGTTTGTTGATCTATTGCTTGTGTGAATAAATATTTGTTAGCTTGATTTGTGTAGCTGCTAGTTGTGTTGCTTGTAGAAGGTATTATATTATTGTTTACTATACAGGCATTAATATTGGTTATATCTTTTTGAGAATTTGGTGTAGTTCTTGTTGCCTTGTTTGCATTTTTATTTTGGTTAACATTGTCATCTGTATTGATTTCTGCTATCAGATTGTATGAAACTAGTAGTATTTTAATACCACATAAAATTTTTGTATATCTTTATAACCTTTAATTATTATCTCTAGATTACAGCTACAAGTACTTCTAGATAGCTTGGTATTAATATTTACAAAGTTGTATTTTAAATTTGTAAGGCCAAATAGAATTAATTAGGTAGCCTTATTGTGCTTGCATATCCATTATACAAAGAATTTAATCAAATTCGAAATATATTCTGACTTGATGAGGTTGATAGTGAATATATATCTATTTGTCAAGTCAGAGACAATGAAAGAGATAGTAAAAGTGAGGTTTGCTTAGTCTTTAATAGTAATATTGATAAATTTTTAGTATATTCTATTGTTGGTTCTTTTTGTTATACATCTGCTGTTGTTGTTATGATCTTGAGGTTAGTTGTTTTGCAAGAGAAATAAGCTAAAAGATCTATGAAAAAGCTACTTTGTTGTATACGTAGAAGTTTGTATTTGGCTATTGTTTGTGTTGCTGTTGGCAGCTAGTATATTATCTTGAGATATCTTTTGAGGCAAAGTTGACAGATCTATAGAACTTTTGCTACTTGCAGATAGAGAGTTGTAGGGATTGTTGTTTCTGTATTCTTCATTTAGTAGTTGTTGTTTTAGTAGATATTCCTAATAGAGTTTATTATTTCAATATATTACCAGCAATATTGGACAAGTTTATTTAAGGGGTCTTGCTATATTCACTTAGTAATTTCTTTAGTTATCTTCATTTAGGAGTTTTTTCTTGCTTCAGTTTTGGTAAAATTGATTAATAGAATAGTTTTTTTAATATTAAAAAGTGTTATTACAAAAGTTTTTATATTAATTTATAATAAAAATTTTTATCTAAATAAGATGTAGTTAATTTTTATAATCAAAACTATCTAAAATTTTGTCAGATTATTTTTTGGATATTTAATTTTATATAAATATTGAAAATTAAATAAGGTTAAGTATTCTACTAACTTTTTTAAAAGCTATTTTAACAATATTAATATATTGTACAGTATTATAAATATAAGTTTTTAGTTTTTAAAGCAAATTAACTAATAAAAATCCAATTTCTTTTTGAATAAATATTTCAAATTTCACATAAGCAAGATAAGATAATTACAAAATTAATTATCTTGTATATGTATTAATTTTACAAAATATTATAAAAATATTAGATTTATTTATTTTTTTTTTCAATATTAAGGTGATCTTTTTGTTGCATACCTTTATTTGATTATAGTTATAATTTTTACAGTATGCTTTTTACATACTATATATATATTTAAAGAGTACAACTAGTTATATTTGTAACTTTTGGTTGCCTATTTAAGTAGTCTATTTATTGCTAAGTTTTACACTAGATGTTATACCTATAATCTGACTAGGGGATTATCTATTTAAACCCTCTACGCCTATATGATTATACTGTTAATTGAGCAAGAATCTATTTCGGATACCTTTAATTTTAAATATCGATTTAAGACTTTAAGGCAGGCTCTTTATTTTCAAGAGCCCTTTATCCTTGAAGCAAACTTGCTAGAGCCTTCTGTACTTACAATCTGGCTGATCTAATCTTCAGTTGATATGTATAAGCTGAGGCCTATTACTTGTATCCCAGTTTTTATATTAGGTACTATGGCCTGATCGCCACTACACAATCTACTTCTGCCCTTATAGAGTTCACCCAAACCCCAGTATATATATTACAGACTGTTTATAGTATTTCTGACTTTTAAAACTACCAATCCAGATGGTCTAGAAGAGTTGTGATCTACTTCTAGTTCTATGGTTAGGTTCTTTTCTTTTGATAAAATATTAGATTTATAAGTATTAGAAATAACGTGTATTAATTGTTAATTTTAGCTAATCAGAATTTGTATAGATTATCTAATAAAAATAAATTTTTATTATATTTATTTTGATTACAGTCTGACCTCCCTATAATCACACCCCATATAGTCAAACCTCTATTTAAGCACCCAATTTTGTGTGATGAACTTAAAATATAGTAAAAAAATCCCATTATAGTCACAAATCACTTATAATCACTATCACCTTAAAATCTAATTTTTAAGTCAAATTTATTAATAAAAATACCTCTTTATAATTACTAATTTATTAATTAAAAGGTTTTCTGACTAAGTTAATTGCCTTTGAGTCTTTAAGTAAAGTTGTAGAGCTATTAAGATGAATTTAATAGTGATTAAATCATCAAAATCAGCATAGTGAATGCTAAGATATCTTCGAAAAATGTTTTACTAACTATAGAAAAATTCTTTATATTGTTTACAAAGAATTTATATAGTGGCAAAAAGTTTTTCAAAGATAACTTAGCAACCACTAGTCCGATTTTGATGATTTAACCACTATTAGATTCATCTTAATAAGCTCTACAATTTTACTTAGATACTCAAAAATAGTTAACTTAGTACAAAAAAAACTTTTAGTTGTAGGACAATCATGACTAATGAATTACCAATTAATTATTGATTGGCTGAAGATCACATGATATTAATCTGATATTTGTTTATAGTCACACCTTTATACAATCACCAAAATAGGGTATGACAGACTTTGTGATTATATAGAGATCAAACTGTATTTATTAACAATAAAATATGTAAATCAATTTTATAAATAAAATTTTATAATCATTGTTTATTAGTTTAATACGTATGTATAGTATAACAAAAGAGTAAATAACAGATAACAAATAAAAGAATAATTAATAGAAATATATATTTTAATTTTTTGTTAACAATAAAATATATTCAATTTTTATAAATAAAATTTATACTTACTTTTTGTTGATTTGATATATATAGTATAACAAAATAGTAAATAATATATAACCAATAAATGAATAATTAATAGAAAAATATATTTTAATTGTTTGTTGACAATAAATATATTAATTAATTTTTATAAAAAAAATTCTACACTTTATATACTATTGATTTAACAAATATAGTATGACAAAAAAATAAATAACAGATAATAGATAAAAGAATAATTAATAGAATAATATATTTTAATTGCTTATTAATAATAAAATATATTAATTAATTTTTATGAATAAAATTTTACACTTATATTTTATTAAATTAAAAGTAGTATAATAAAAGAGTAAATAACAAATAACAAATAAAAGAATAATTAATAGAAAAATATATTTTGATTATTTATTGATAATGAAATATATTGATTAATTTTTATAAATAAAATTTTACATTTACTCTTTGTAGATTTAAAATATGTAGTATGATAAATAACAAATAAATAAAAAATAATTAATAGAGAAATATATTTTGATTGTTCATTAACAATAAAATATAAGCATTTGTAGATTTGTTAGTTTCTCTATATATGGGATATTTATGAGCTATCAAATGCTAAACAGATATTAAGACTTTTTGGTTACACAAATTGATCTTAATTACTATATTACTATCACATTAATAGTATTCAATAGCCAAGTGTACTTCTCTAATCCATTTTATAGGCTAGTTATCTGGTATTTGTGCTGATGATCAATTCTTTGAGTACAACCTATATGAGCTATTATGTATCTCATATATTAATTATTTTTTTATTTATATAGAGATTTCGAAGCTCCTAGTAATAACCTGATCCTGCTTCAAGAGGTATGAATAACACATCAATAATATTACAAAATTTTTTATTCTTAATTTGATCAAGTTCTAAGATTAATTCATTATTGGGCATTTCTTCATTGATTAATTCTTCAATTTCACAATTATGAAAATTTAATATCCTTTTCTTTTTCTTCACTATTTCTAAATTTAACAAGAATGAGATCACAAAAGTCATATGGAATTTCATCATCATTGTTTTTACTGCTATCTATGTCTACATATATGGATTTATGTTCATCCAAGAGTAAAGAAGAAGTATTTCATCATCAATCGATTTGGGTTTTAAATTTTTACTTAATCTACTTTGCTTTTTTTGATCTGAACAGACATTGCATGTAGTATACATTCAAGTTTTACCTGTGTGCGTTCTTGTAAATTTAGCAATTGGTTTATCTTTTTCACAATGAGTGAAATCTAGAGTTCTTCAGCATTGGCGATATTAATAACATCATTCAAGGTAAATATTTTTATTTTTATTTTATATTGTTACAAGTTTATTTTTATTTTATTTATTGATAGTGATATTAACAGGTAAATTAAGAACAGAAACAGTATATTTAATACAATTGTATAAAATCCTAAAGGTCAAAATCAATCATTTATATACATTTTGTGGGTCATAGAAACTTAAGTGATAGTGATAAATCTTATAATGAATATATTTTTCTTAGCTAAATTAATAAATTTCCGATGTTGATTCAGATGATGTATTTTGGTGACGTATTTTATAATTAATATTAAAATAGTGATTTTGAAATAATTATATATATATATATAATCTTCACACTATATAATTTGCATAATTATTTCTAATCATTTCTATATATATATATCAGACAATGCAAGAGTTGGTTAATTCTGTATACTTGTAATTAGAATATATTAGCTAATATATATGAAATTATTAATTCAGCCACATTCAAAAAAAGAAGCTATAGCCAATTTTTCAATTACAGCTTAACCAAATTCTTTTATTTATTGTTATTTATTTAATATAGTTTAAGATACTTTTTAAGAATATAATATTACAGATAAAAATAAGAAAAAAATAAAAGTCTAATCCATCAAAAAAAGCAGTTCAAATATTTTTTTTTTATATTCAGATATTGATCCAACTATTGAACAATTATCAATGAATACAGTATCCAGAGTGTCCAAAATTCTGTGATATATAAATCTGCTTATACTAAAAATATTTTTGCCTATTGTTTCTATAAGATAAAAGTAACTTTAATCACTTTATAAAATCTAATACAATATTAAAATTTTTTTAATGTGAGCAGATTTATGCACTACAGAATTCTAGATATTCTACTAGTATCTAATTGACCAAGTTCATCGTATACTGTATTGCATATTATAAAAGGTAAATTTGCTTTTCAATACAAGAATATACTACAATAATACACTAATATAAACTAAACAACTCTAACTAAACCCTAATAATATAAGGCTATGATCGAAGTATAGAAAGAATTGGTCTGAGTAACTAGGGTCAATTAGAGCTCTAAATCATATCATGAGTATCTTACTATGATGTTACAGTATTTGGTTACTTATTTTTATCATTAATACAGATTTATTTATCAGAGAGAATTAGTAGAGCCAAACACTTCTACTTAAAGAACATAGATATTTCAAATTCTCAGAACTAATCACAAGTTACAGTGCTCTACAAAAGTTTCCCCGCATCTGTAATTTCTGAAATTTCTTGCGTAGAACCTTAAAATTTTATATAGGCAAGGGACATTGAGTATGCAGATCATATTAAACTTCTTCGAGCACTGTATATAGTAAAAATGCCCACGCTGCTTATATGCCAAGTTTAAATCAAAAAATGCCTCTTCCTTTGCATAAGCGATATGAAATCGTCTTTTTAACCAGCCACCCAAAAGGCTTCAAGCTCTCATTTCATAAGATAGCAAAGCAGGTTTGCTGTGACAAAAAAACAGTGAGAGAATGGGCAAAAAGGTGGCAAGAAAGCAAAAACTTAAGTGACAAACCAAGATTAGGTTGTCAACGAGCCACCACGCAAAGACAAGATAACCGGATTTTGAAGCTTGCAAAAGAGAACATAGATATTTTAGCACTAGAAATCCACCATGAGTTTTTTAAACAGAACATAGACATTCACGTGCGTACCATTCAACGGCGCCTTGGTGAAGGTGGAGATCGCTATTACAGAAAACTCACAAAGCTATTGCTTGGAGAGAAGCATAAAAAAAAAACAGCTCTCGTGGGCAAAGAAATATAAGGATTTTGATTGGGACACTGCGATATTTACAGATGAAAGTACATTCTGCTTGAATCAATGGTTAAAAAAGGCTTGGCAGTTCGTCAGGGCAAGGAAAATAACCTGTTCCATCAAGCATCTATTGAAGGTTCACATATGGGGTGTTTTTCTTCTTCAGGCTTTGGAAAGTTAGTCTGCTTTACACAAAACCTTAATGCACAATATATGACCACCCTGTATGAAACAGCCCTTCTACCTTCTGCTATGGACCTTTTTGGTGAAGATTGTGATAGTTGGATTCTGCAGGAGGACAATGACCTGAAGCGCCATTTAAAAATTGCGAAGGCATGGAAGGAGGAATTAACATCACAGTTCTCCTCTGGCCATCGATGTTACCCGACCAAAACATGATTGAGAATGTCTGAGGACTTATGAAAATGAACCTGACAAAAAAAAATTAGAAAGCTTAGTACTCTGAAGGCGCAGATAACCAAAGAATGGAATCAATTGCCTAAAGAGTACATGGCTAATTTGGCAAGGAGTATGAGGCATCATGTGGAGGCCCTAATTGAATCTGAGGGTGATTATACTATACATTAATTTTCATGTAATTTAATGTTCTTTTAAATAAAAAAAAATTTTTTTCTCTACCATATCTCTGTGCGAGTTATGGGTGCGGAAAACTTTTGTTGGGCACTGTAAATACTCTAATTTCTTTAACTTAGAACTTTGAACTCTCCAGAATTATGTTTTATTTCTGGAGGAAACCTCTATTTATATAATAGATTTTTTACTTATACAAGAATAATACAAATTTTGATTTTTCTAGCTTTTCTAATTTTTCATGTTTTTCTTATTTTTTCTACTATTCTAATTTTTCTTATTGCAACAATTTTTTAGGAAGGATGATCTTGCCATTTACAATGTATATATAAGATTAGAGATAATTGCAATAAATATTATTTTAACTGGTATTATAATTAAGAATTAAAAAAATGATATGCATAAAGTATTTATTACAATACTTAATAGACAATTCATCTATCATCTAGAGAGGATCTGCAAATTTTATAAGTAAATTTTACTATTAAGCCAAATGTAAAGAGATTTCTTCTAAAACTTTTTTCTTACTAAGTAAATCACTCTTGGGCTTCTAACAAAAGTTGTAGAGCTCATCAA